AAATACAGGCTATTACCAGGGACCTTCTAGGTGTCACAGCCACTGTCCTCACTGCCCCCTTGTCCACATGCTTGCCAACACCAGCAAAACCGGTGGTCTGCAGGAAACCCCACACAGATGCGGGAAGGCCCCACACGATGACACCAAATGTGAGGCCGTTCAGCCCTACTCACCCGTACATCCTTGAGAACCAGCACAGAGACCTTCTCAGATCCATTGGGACAGCTCGATTTCTGCAGAAACTCGACAGAAGACAGCTCTGCCCTGGAACCCAAAGGCAGCTGGTACGAGCCTTTTCAATTCCAGTCCATGATATTTATGTTCACCATATTCCAACAGGCAAATACAGGCCTGAAGAACGGCGCAGAGACATTTTGATTTTAACCAACACCAGGGAAGAGATGGAGACACTCACTATATTATCTGATGTAGTCGCCTTGACATCTTTGCAGGAGATAACTGTCCAGGCTCTATGCTTAGATCCTCCCCTTTTCATTCCAAAAGGAACAGTTATAGCCATTGCCCACCTCCTACTGGACATGATCACCACACCGGCTGATCCAATGGTGATGTGGGCACAGATTATGGGCCGAAATAGACCCGTTCTAAAGTGTGCTTTGTCAAGTAAAGGGAGAAAGAGATGTCTTTCAGGATTATTAGATACAGGACCTGACATCATGATAATTTCCCACTCTGATTGGCTAAAGGATGGCCCCTGGTTCCAACTGCTGGGGAAATTTTAGCCATCAGGAGAGCCACTACCAGCTTCTGGAGTCAAGACACCATCTGCATGGAAGGTCCTGAGGGCACAGTTGCTACAGTAAGATCATTCATCACCTGGGCACCAATAACACTTTGGGGAAGAGACCTCTTGTCCCAGTGGGGGACAAGGCTAGAGATCCTATCAACACCTCAGGGTTTCTAGATGGGGCCACTGAGCAGCGCGCCACACTACAGTTAACCAGGAAGACCAACGACCCCATAATGTCCTGGGGTGACGTTATGATGCTTGTATCCCCATTCATCTGTTCTGTGCCTTTAAGACCAGCTCTGAAGAGTGGAAGTTTTGTTTGGGTTTCTCTTATCAGGGACGCAGAGACGAGCAGTACATAGGGCTGTTTTCCACTTCTTGCTTTTAGCTTGCTGCTTTGCTTGCTCCCTTTTCTGCTCTTGCTCCTGCTCTGCTTATTAGCTAGTTCTAGCTAAACAGTCCACATCCCTTCCTGGACTGTTTCTCCTCTCCTGTTTCTGTGACCATCTTGAACCTGCTCTGAACTGGGACCCGGGAACACCGTTTTGGCCTGCAGCAGCTGCCCCAGCGCCGGAGGGACTGAGAACAGAGCAATCACCCCCGAAAGAGACTTTCTGATTTTGTCATCTTTCTCAGAGCGGTGTCATCGGGTATTGTTAATTTTGTGTGCTGGGGGGTGTTGTGCCTGAAATAAACAGGTTCTTTCCACCTCTCTCCAAGGAATTTTTTCCCGAACCGGTTGGGGGGAGGGGCCGTGTGGGTTTTGCTTTCAGGAGGGGCCCTCCTTTGCAGATTCTTTAACAAATTTGCCCTAAACCAGGACATCTCCACAGTGTCGTAATGAATCCTTTGTTCCATGATGTGCCTGGTCTCCCACAGCCTCTCAGACACCTTCTCCTCCTCAAGGTCCCCAACAGCGTTTCATGGCCCCTCAAATCTCCTCATGGCCCCTTAAAACCCCTCACAGTTCCATCATGGCCCCTCACAGCCCCAGGCCTGGAGCTCCTCCCAAAGGAGAAGGGGTCAGGCCTTGCTTGTTCTCCTTTTATTTCGGTCCCTTCACAGCCACGAGTGCAGAAAGGCTGAAATGGAGCCTTTCCCCAGCGTTTCCCTCGGGGTTAACTGCGGGCTGAAGCTCTGTGCTGGCGCTGGCCCAAGCGCCACCATCCCTGCAGCCACCAGGCCTTTGCTGTCCCCCCCGTGTCCGTTCCCTGTTCTCAAGTCCCGCCCGGCTCTGGCAGCAGCAGGAGCAGCCGCAGCGCAGGGGGAGCCGGCCCGGCCCAGCCGCGGCTCCCAGCCAGGAGCAGCAGCAGCGCCGGCCCCTTCCCGCCTGCTCCTGCCTCGGCTCCCAAGGGCTTTCTCCAGCTCAATTCTGGACTAGAGCAGCAATCACCTACACACAGCCCTGACTCCTCAGGGCCCACCTGTGCTGCCCTGAGCCAGCCCTCAGAGAAAGAAGGGATCGGGTTCCAGCGCTGTTTTCAGCACTGTTTTACTCACCCTGAGGTGACAGCAGGAGGCTGCTGCTGCCTTTGCCTTGGGAATTGGAGATCATGGCTGCTCTTGCTACTCTTCCGCTTGCCACTTGGAATTTATCTGTAAAAGTGCAATTGCCTTTTTTGATCAGTGCTACCCAGAGTGCTTTAGTGACAGTGAATTTTGGAATCCTTAAAATCAGAGCGTTTTGGGAAAGCTGCAAAAGGCAGGCCTCAGAGACAGCAGAAGTGTGATTAGAGCTAAGTGGTAGCTGTAGGCTTTGTCAGCAGCAAAGTTATATTAGAAGTAGAAAGTAAGGACAAATCTAACAATGGATTTTGTATTAACGCTTGGTAGAATAACTCCCTAAGCTACAGAAAAGTATATCTAGTGAGATATTAGGAAGTTCTAAGCTGGAGCTCTGTGCATTGTGTTTTAAGGCTCACAAGCAGGTACTGCATTCAAAATTAGCAAGCATTGTTTTAACCAAAGGTACCTGTGCGTACAGTGGTTGGATAGAACTACCGTCAATATCCTTTTGCTTTGTGGGATTGGTAAAAAAACAATTAAAGTAAGTTGTAACATTGAGTTCTTTGCTGCCAAGGACACGAGCTGCTGGCATCTTCTCATTGTCATAACCATGTAATGAGACTGATGCTGGAAAATAAACAGCTTGAGACACGTTCCTCAGCAGTCCCGTCCTGTTGGTGATTTGTACATAGCCCCTGGCTGGCTATAGGTGAACTCAGGCTTTTGGTCCCAAGCATCATGATTAGCAGATCTTGAAATGCTCTTTGTCCCTGAGCACTGAGTCAAGGAGAATAAAGCAGCCACACAGGCCACATTTGCAGTACTCAAACACAGCCCTGTTGCTGCTGCTGCTGAAATAGAATCAACTGACAGAGGCCATCACAGAAATTGCTTCTGGAATGTCAAATCAAATGAAAACATCCACCAGGAGGAAGAGAAACCAGAGTGTTTTGACTGACTTAATTCTCTCTTCTTCCAAGCAGCAGCAGCAAATGGAGATGCGCAGAGCTATTTCCAGCTGCTGCTGATCCCAGCTGGAGCCCAGCCTGCTGCCCAGGCCCAGCGGGAAGCTGAGCCCAGCCCAGGGAGCTCCCGCAGTGTCGGGAGCTCAGTGCACGCAGGGCCAGGCCCAGAGCCCCGGGCACGGCCGCCCATTGCGGGGCAGCGGCGCAGACGGAATGTCCTGCAGCCCAAACCTCCTGCTCCTGCCACACAGCGCCAGTGCTCTCCCCCTCCTCCTCCTCTCCCAGCACGGCACAAATTCCAGCTCGGAGGAGGCTGCCCCAGAGAGGGCTCAGGCTCCTGCTTCAGCCTCAGTGTCCCTGCAGAGGAACGGGGCATCTTTCAGGCACTTCCACAAGCTCAGAGTTCCCATTTCATGAGGAATCTGGGATGAAAATGGCTTTGTTAAAAAGGACAAAAGCAGAGGAAATGGATTGGAAATTATTAGGAAAAATGATCCTTTGTGCAGGCAAAGCTCACTACGTCATTCCCTGCATTTTCTCCTTTTCACATTCTTTCAGTCATCTCCATAGAGATCCAGCTTGTTCTGGTGCCTTTCATGAACTGACAGTAACTCTAGATTTATATCAATGCATGAGATGTAGAAGCATCTGAACTAAACACTGAAACAAACTCCCGCTGTAAACCCATTTTCATGTTCTACATCACTTTCAAGATGTCCATGGGGACGATGGAACGATTATCCCACAGCTCTACATTTCTGGCTGCAGGCTCTGGAGATTCTTTCTCTGCATTCAGTCAGGCTTACATTCCCTAACAATTCCTGGTAGCCTGTCATGTTTTCTTAGGGTAGAACAGTAACAATGAAAACCTCACCAATGGCACAAGTGCCCAGCCCACAAGGAAAAGAAAGAACAAGCTGAAAAGTTCTTTAAACATTTCTCCTGCTTTGCTGTAAGAGTCGTGCTGCACGCATGGTGTGGAAAGCCAAAAGCAGCTGCAGTTGGTATCATATCTTGTGACAGAAGCTGCACCTCGTTCTCCAGGAAAGGTTCTTGGAAAGAGCAAACAGGACTGTGGACAAGATTGTGGAAGAACTGAAACAGTTTTTAGGAAATGAAAGTAAAACAGAAATAAACAATCTGAGATGTTTTACTTTCCTTGTTTTTATGCTCTCTGTTGCACTACTTCTCCATCCCAATAATTCCAAATGGATCTCACCTCTAAGATCCATGACTTGGCATGTTTTAGACACTAAAATACCATGAGCTATACACAGTTTCCCTTCCTCTACTTTTCTTCCTCTACTTTTTTTTTTTTTTTATGGAAAGCAATGCTGTTCAGGTAAATGCAGTGCATGGGTCAGGTACGAATTCTGAATTCAGGGAACGGGCTCCAATAGTGTTTGACCCTCATCAGGGACAACGCACAGCAGCGACTGAGGGGATTCTTGTGCCACTGCCCAGAGTCCAGACTCTGGGTCTTGGCTGAACACGGCAAAGTTCCCGTGTTTGGACAGGCTCAGAGGCTGACCCCGGGAGCGTGGGCTCGGCGCGGAAGCGAGCAGGCAACGGACTAACGGACACGGGGACAAATGGCCCCAGAGCTTCAGTTGCAGTGGCAGCAGCACCGGCAGCAGCGGCAGTGAAAGCAGCAAAAACAGCGAAAGAAGCGCCTTTGTCGACTCCCTCTCGCCTCTCCTCTCCCTCTCCCGAAGTCCCACACCCTCTCCCGCTCTCCCTTTCCCGCTGTCCCCTCCCCTCCCAGTCTCTCTCTCCCCATGCCCGGCCGGGCCATGCCCCCGGCCCGCCCCAGGCCCCGGGCGGGGCTGCCCAGTGCCCGGCCCGGGGCGTCCCACCACGGTCTCGCCTCCGGCCGGCTCTGGCCGTGCTGGCGGTGGCGCTGCTGGGCGGGCATCAGTGCCTGGGGCTGGGGCGGCATCGCCTCCCTTTGGCTCCGCCTGTCCAAGCCTGGCCCCGGCCCCGGCCCCAGCCCCGGCCCTGGGTGCGGCTCCTGCCAGGGCCCGCGGAGGACACAGGCGGCGCGGCCGCTCCCGCCGCTTCCACTGCGGCTTGCATGGCCCGAGCTCCGCCACTCGGCAGCGCGGCCGCCAGCCCCGACCCGCCGCTGTCTCGTTCCCGGGAGCGAACGCCTGGGCATGGCTGGTCCGGAGCGCTTGAGGGGCGCTCGGGGGCCGTTGCTGGCCCCGGGCCGAGTGCTGACAGCCGCATCCCGCGGGCAGGGAAGGCGCAGCAGGGCCTGAAGGAGCAGGACAGGCTGGGCTCGCTGCTGGGGTGCGGCGGCTTCGGCAGCGTCGTCGCGGCCACGCGGCTCTCTGACGGCGCCCCGGTGAGCAGCGGGGCCGGTGGCAGGTACAGGAGGAGGAGAAGGGCGGAGGATGGGTCTGGGCAGGACGGAGGATGCGTCTGGGCAGTGCGGGCGGTGAGCTGAGCCCGCTGCTGCCCTTGGCTTGCCCTTGGTGGCCATCAAAAGGGTGCCACGGAAGCGCGTCCAGCACTGGGGCGAGCTGGTGAGTGAGCAGGGCCAGCGGCAGAAGCCGGGCTGTGCCAGGCAGGGATGAGCCGAGGCCCGGCAGGGTGGAAGCCGCCAGGACGCCCCGAGGGAGAGCGGGTGTGGGGCCAGCACAGGGCGCAGAGCATCCCGGGCTGGCTGAGGGCTTCCCGAGCCCTGGCACGGCATCAGCCCCACTGACGGCATCGTGCTCCTCCCGCAGCCCGACGGCACGAGCGCAGCCCTGGAGATCGTGCTGCTGGCCAAGGTGTCCACTGTCTTCCCTGGTGTGGTCCAGCTGCTGGAGTGGCTTGAGCTCCCCAATGACATCGTGCTGGTGCTGGAGTGGCCGGAGCGCTCTCAGGACCTGCAGCATTTCATTGAGGCACGGGGGTTCCTGCCCGAGGAGGCGGCACGGGAGCTGTTCCGCCGGGTGCTGGAGGCCGTGCGGCACTGCACCAGCTGCGGGGTCCTGCACAGGGACATCAAACCAGAGAACATCCTGCTTGACCTGGACACCCGGCAGGCCAAATTGATCGACTTTGGCTGTGGCACCTACCTGCAAGAGACAGCCTACACTCACTTTGCAGGTGAGCCCACGCAGGGGTGTGCTTCTGGTCCCGGCATCTCATGGCACTGAGCTCTCACAGTCCAAGCTGGGTGTGGCAGCAGGGATTCTCCCTTTTTTAAGTGCCTTCATGGCACTGAGATTTCAGCTGAGTTTCTTTTGAGCAGGGCTGAGTGGGGAGCCAGCTTCCAGCTGTGGTGGCAGCCTTTGCCCACCACTCTGCTCAGAACTGGGGCTGGGCTGGGGCAGCCAGCCCAACAAAAACACGCATGGGTGGGGGTAGCAGAGAGGAGGAGGCAGAACCTGTGCCCCAGCTGGTTTGGTGTGCAGGTGAGAAAGGGCTTGGACTGCTCCACTCACCTTGTTTGTCTTGGGTTCATAATGTTTTTGGGGTCAATGCAGGCAGGGAGGATGAAGGCATGGTTTTTCCCAGCATTCAGTGGGTTCTTCCTTGTCATGGTCGGGCCTTGCCATGGTTTCCACCTCCCTCTTCCATCACCAGCGGCTTCTTTCCCAACCCCAAGCCTGGACACAAGTCCAAGGTGCTGGTGAGAGGGCAGTGGGTCACCCTGTGTGCCACTGGGGCAGCCCCCACACACCCAGGGGTGCTGGGGCCAGGCTCTGGGAGCAGCGGCATCCCTCTGCTGAATTCCATCTGTATTCCATAGGAACACGGTCATACAGCCCCCCAGAATGGACCCACTTTGGCTGGTACTATCTGGGGGGCAAGCCAGCTACCATCTGGTCCCTGGGCATCCTGCTGCACCAGATGCTCTGCAGGGAGTACCCTTTCAGCAGGGGCCAGAACATCGGCTGGGACCATCAGCTCTCGCTGCCACAAGGGCTCTCCCAAGGTGGATCCTCATCTCTGGGCAAGGGGGGATTCCCAGTGCTGGGAGACAGCAGTGGGCTCGTGGGCATCCCACTGTGGTAGCTGCTGAGGAGGTGGCACATGTCCTGCTCTCCTGCTCTCCTCCAAAACAGGGAATTGATGGGAAAGTTTAGGCCCAGCTCTGAGCACATCCAGTAAAGCCTGAGAATGGGAATAGTGGGGCAAAACCAACAGGAGCCTTCTCCAACTGCCCGGCGGTTTCTGGTTTCTCTGCCTAGAGTGCCAAGATCTGATCAGGCAGTGTTTATCCATGCTGGACTTGGAAAAGCCCTCATTAGAGGAGCTGCTCTGTCATCCTTGGATGCAGGATATTCATGTGCCCTAGAAGAAGGGAGAGAGCCACAGGCACACTTTGATGCAGGGCCCTGGTAAGTTACAGCTGCACACATGCCTTGGCAATGAGAAGCAAAGGAACCCAGACTTTTTGTACTGCCTGTGTCACTGGCCAGGGCTCATCAGATGGGAACACACAGCCCTTGTGCTGGAGCTGAGCTGCTCTGCCCAGCACTGGTGGCTGCCATCCAGGCTGGTTTTTGCTTGTCCTGGTTCCCTGACAGCTGGGGCCCTGGGCAGAACCCTGAGAGACTGATCTGCCCCCAGGGAAGGAGAAGCAGCCCCTGGAGAAGCTGTACCGGGTGGGGATGCTGCTGCTGGGGACAGTGAGAACGACATCAAGGATGACGTTCTCACTCTTCCTGGACCTGGCACCTGGCCAGCTGAAAATTATGGACTTTGATTCTGGCACCTTCTTCAAAGCCAGGCTCCAAAGGGAATTTGCAGATGAGTCCACATGCAGGGGGATGCTCCCAGATTTGGGCATTGCACAGCCTGGCCGGGAACCAAAGGTTCCCCCTTTGCTGAGGTGGGTGCAGCTGATCCTTCAGTTGGCTGCCCAGCTGCTTTTGGCAGGGCTGGGGCATGGGCTGGGGTGGGTACGAAATGGGAGTGGGCTCCTGGCCCTGCCAACAGCCCCCAGCACCCACCCTGCCCCGGGCTGGGGCTGGGGCTTGGGGCAGCCAGCCCGACACAAACAAACCCCCATGGTGGGAGCAGAGGTGGGACTCCAGAACCTGTGCTGGGGCTGCTTTGCTATGCAGGCAAGGAAGGGCTTGGGCTGCTCCACTGCCCTTGTTTGCTTTGGGATCACTGTTATTGTGGGGGCAGTGCAGGGGGGAAGGAGAGAGCCTGGGCTTCCCTCACCCATGGCTGGGTTTTTTCCTTGTATGTAGGGGTTGGGCCTTCCTCAAGGCCCTGGTAGAGATAAGATTTTTGACCTTGTTTCCCTCTTTTTTTCTGTAATCTATTTTGAATGATTTCTTGTTTGTTTTTCTAGGTGAAGCATTCTAAGTGTGCTCCAGTCTGGATTCGTAAGTGTTTGGGACCAACTGCAGCGCGGATGGGCCGTGCTCTTGGAGAAGGCTGAGGACATAATTTGGGACCAGCTTTTCTTCCAGTGGGGGATGGTGTGAGGTGGGTCCCGGTGTGCTTGGCATGGTGGGATCAGAGATTTTGGGAGATGGCAGCGAGCACAGGAGCATCCTGCTCTGGGCAGCTGCTGAGGAGGTGGATGTGCCCTGGCTGACTGCAGGCTGGGCACATGTCCTGCCCTCCTGCTCTGTGCCAAAGGAAGCAGGGATGGGCAGCTCTGGGCACTGCTCTGAGCACGGCCAGCACGGTCTGGGCACCGCAGGCAGCTGGGACAAGGGGACAGGAGCCTTCAGCTGACGGGCGGTTTCTGCTTTCTCTCGTTGCAGCCGGGCTCTGCGGGTGCTGAGGCTGCTCTGGGCTCTGCCAGGGCTCTGCTGGAGCTCAGCACCAGACTGGAATCAGCCAAAGAAGAAATGGTGTGACCTGCAGCACAGACTTGCTTGAGCATTTTGGCAGCAAAGCTCAAGTCTGCAGAATGTACACCCCCAAGGGAAAACAAGACACGCCCCAAAAAATAAACTTTTTCAGTAACTTCTGAAATTAAATCAATCTGGGATGACCCCAAATGACATATTTCAGCTTGCTCAAGCTCTAGCTCAGCCCTTCTCTCAACAGTTCTCTCCCCCACCTGCCTTTTACTTCCCAAGTGCTCCTTGGTGCCCCTCACCACAAGGAAGGCAGAGCCCCAGGCTTAGGGACTCATCCTGTCACTGGCTGAGGAGCAGCAATGTCTCAGAGGTCCAGTGGGATTTTAGTGGGATTTTAGTGTCACTCAGAGCCACTCTCCAGCCCTCAGCTCTCCTCGCTGCTGAGCTCCCACTCCCTTTTCCTCGTCCTTGCAGCAGAATGAGCTCTGTGAATCCCCTTGAGCCTCCCCACTCTGACCAGCCCATGCACCCCCCTCAGTTAGGGTGAAGCTGAAGCTTCTCTGTCTCCTGTGGCACACCAGTCCAGTGCCCTGTGCGGGGAGCCCCAGCCCCAGAGCACAGCACACAAGTGCGCAGTCCGGGCTGGAGCAGCTGCCCTGCAGCCCTGGCTCGGCTGCTTGTGGCAAGGGAATGCTCCTTGTTTCCAGCTGTCCCTGCAGGACAGCCCCAGGGCAGAGCCCAGCCAGGCTCCCACTGCAGCCCCTGGAACTTGGGGCAGACAGTGCTCCCAGAGCTGAAGTTCCTGGGGAGCACCTGGAGCTGTGCCTTGCACTCTGTGGCCGTGTGTCACAGTGCAGGCTGGCTTGTGCTGTGTGAATGTACCAGCCCTGGTTTGACTGCCAGGGGCCTCGCCCAGTCACATCTCTCCCAGGGCTGCAGCATTTCACTGGCCAGAATCTGACAAGGCATAGAGATCAGAGCAATGAAATTCTCCAGACTGGGTTTTTCAAAGGCCCTTTAGAAGGAAGGGCTTGAGAATAAACGCTCTCTGTTTGCAACATGAACATCGGGGTGAGTGCTCTCTCTGTCTCCAACCCACTCCCCCCCAGCCAACGTTACAGCCACCCACTCCCTCACACATCCCCCTCATGCCTTCCCTCTGCCGTGTCCTGTCAGGGCTTCCCAGCCCCTCTTCCCTTCCTGGCCCCGTCCCCTCAGGCTCTGCCCCAGCCCTGCCAAGCTGCCCGGCAGCAGCGCTGCAGCCCCACAGCAGCTCCAGAGCAGCCCCATCCAGAGGCACCTGGGAGCCCTCAGCAATCCAGCCAGCAGCACACGGGACGAGGACACGGATGGCGCTTCCTGCCTGGCACAGGGCTTGTGGCCATTTCCAGGCACGGCTCTGACAGGGATCCCCACAGCTCCGGCCCCTGCCCAGCCGCTCTGTCACCAGCACAAAGGCTTCAGCAGAACCACCAAAGGCCAAGGGGTTTCTGGCCATTTTCCCTGCAGCACTGCACGCCTGGGCAGCTTGCTGAGCACAAGCACACTTTTCCCCCTCTTCCCTTATGCCCTGCAGACCCTGGGCAGCAACAAAAAACTCTTGGGAGTCTGGTATTATAACACACTCTATATTTATATACTGAAGAAAAAACAAAAAGAAGAAAAGAAAAAGAACAATCTTAAGGAAATGAAAAATTCCCACTGGCTCAGGTGGCCCCAGCAGACAGAACCTCTGGGATCAGCTCTCTACAGAGCTCCAGCAGCGCGGCCAGCTGAGCCCTGACAGACGAGGCCGTGTCCTCCATGCCCAGCAGAGCTGATCTTGCACCCTCTGGAAGATGGAATATCGCTCACTCTGCAGTGCTTGGAGAACATACAATGTTTCAAGTGCCAGATCTGACACGGCACTGCTGATGTCCTCTGTCAGGTGTTCGAGGGCTGAAAGAGAAAGGAACAGAGCCATGGTCAGATCCCGGATCTGCGGGGAGCCGAGGAGGGCCCCCTGCCAGGGCCATCCCAGCCGGCTCTAGCCATGGCCAGGAGGGAGCAGGGACCAACGGGAGCAGCCCAAAGCTGCTGGCCACGAATCGCCCCGGTGGCCCTGAAATCTCTGTGTGCTCTGCCCACGCCGCCCCTTGTCCGCACAGGGAGCAGAGCCCTCCGCAGCCGGGGCAGGGCTTGTAGCTCCCCCGGCAGCCCCCGCTGCCAGCCCGCTGCCCTCACTCACCGTTGCAGATGAACCGGAGCTCTTCCTTCTTCCCCCTCAGGTGCTGCGCGGCCATCCCTGAGAACACAGAGCCTGTCACGGCGCCAGCGGCACAGCTCCCTGCCAGTGGCGCTGCCGGCGCTGTGGCCACACGGGCTGCTGGCCCGGCAGGGCTCAGCCTGGCCCTTGCCGCACGCTGCCGCCCCAGGGCACGGCTGCCAGAGGGCAGAAGCAGCAATGCCCAGGCCAGGCGGGGCTCCACGGCACCGGGCCTGGCTGGCGCTGCCGGGGCAGCAGGTGGGACTGGGGCCAAGCTGCGGCGGGCCAGGGAGGGAGCCCGGGCTCGTGGCTCACCCATGAACCTGATGGCCACCGCTCGCAGGGGCTCCTGTGGGCTCTGCAGGTAGGGCAGGGCCCGGCGCAGGTGCTCGGCCGCTCTGCTCCTGTCCTCTGCCAGCTGGAGAGAGCGGCAGGAGGGAAGGGTTGGCGCGCGCTCAGCTCCTAGGCCGGGCGCTGCCTGCATCCAGCCCCGTCCTCCCCTGCCCGCAGAGCCCTGAGGCGTGGCCAGTAGCCGCCGGCGCCGGGCTCCCGAGGGGAGGGGCAGAGGGCTGGCTGCTGCCCGAGGAGCCGCGGTGCCGGCCCGCCCCGCAGCCCTGCCGGGCCGGGGCTCCATCGGGAGCCTGGAGAAGAGCCCGCGTGGCCTCTGGGTGCAGGGGCACAGCTGCCCGGCCCGCACACTGAGCGCCGGGCTCAGGGAGCTTCTCCAGGCTGAGGCTGGGGCTTGCAGGCCGTCCTTACCAGGCACTCGCTGAACTTCCACAGATTCTGGTTCTTCACCAGTCTTTCAAGATCCCTCCTCTTCAGGAACTCAGCCACACATAGCAGCGTTTCCTGAGAAGCCTGGAGAAGAGCAGAAAGGCAGAGATGGCCCCACAGCCCAGGGTGCAGGACCTATGTCCCTGTGCCAAGGCCTGGAGGAGGCTGCAGCCCGGCACGTGCCAGGGCAGGAGGCAGCCGAGCCTCCCGCCATGGGGACAGCAGTAGCCCACAAGTCCTCACCTGTGCCACAAGCCGATTCTCATCATGGCAGTGGAAGAAGTGGGGCAGCAGGCTCTGGCGTAGGAGTGTCATCAGGGCCTTTTTTTCCTTTTCCCTTTCTGGAAGAGTCACCAGTGTTCGGAAGAGCAGTATGGAGAGCAGCTGCACCTGGCTATTGTTCTGTATGGAAGGAAGAAAAAAAAGACCTCAGCATTGAGGCTGCACGGGGCTCAGCTTGGCGCAGGCCTGCAAATCTACAGGGCACAAAGTGTCCGGGTGGCACCC